GTCGAAATGTCAGTCACCAACAACAGTTCTTTTCAGAACTACACTCACCCGGACAATCACACTATACGAACTACTGATACTCCTGGGTTCAAATCATTTACTATGATTAATTGAAATTAATTAACTAACCAAACTTTAAAGTTTACACCTTATGGTGTTAGTACATTAGTGCCTTAGCAAACAGCAGCCCCCTAAACCATCCTAATAGTGCACTCTGCACTAAAAAGATATATAAGGACTGGTACGAGTTACATGAACTTACCTGCAGTTTAATGTCTTAAATAGTTTGTGACCCCCTTTTTTGTAAACTATTTCCTTTCCTACTTCTCTTCATTTTAACAAAACACATGAGAAATAACAAGTAATTTTTCTCTCTTGCAATTGAATATTTCTGCTTCTTTTGGTGTGTATGACTTACAAGTATCCACCCAGTGTCCTTCTGCAGGACAGAATTACATGGAAAAAAATACTGTTAAATATGCTAGTCTGTTGAAATCAACTCATCCACCTCACGTAGAGAACTTGATTTCATGTTTTCACTGGAAGCAAACAGTATGTTCTTCACTATAATTACCTCCAAAAACAATGGTGACCCCAATTATTGCTCTTAAGTGTGCCATTTGATATTACTCGTAATAACACACTTGAAAAAAAAAACTTTTTTCTGATTGGCTATGTGCACTGTTCTAGAGTAACAGGAGTGCAAAGCGATAATACCAGTGACTGGTTAACTTTGTTCCAAGCAGCCTGGTTTGAGTATTCACATTGCAAGTGCTGAGAATCTGTTTGATGCCTCAAACATTTTTCAATTGTTATTCAACATACCTTCAGTTTGCTCTCCAGCACCTGCATTTTCATCCTACAAAGGAAACATATAAAACTAGAAAAAACTATTCATAAGAAATAATAGTGATAAATAATAATGATAATGATAATGATAAAGATAATGATAATGATAATTATATCTAAATATGTTTGATATGAATTATAATAAGAACCCTCCCAGCATCCTCTGCGGCCAAAAGTTTTGAGTGTTGCTATTTTGAAGCCCATTAACCATTACATAACTATTTTTTCAGTTAAAACAAGAAAATACGTTGATTGCCTCACTGGATATTCCATGGTACATGATAACCACTGAAAAGCACTACATAACTAGTAAAGTGAAACCTGTATTAAGCAGACACCCTTGGGACCCTCATTAGTGTCCACTTAATACAGGGTGTCTGCTTAAAACAGGTTCTAATATGTTGTGCAGTAATAGTTAATTATTAAGGCCTTTTGTAACACAGTGTAACACAGTGTGAGATCAAAGACTGCTCATAGCACAACGTCCAGTCAGTGTCAATCTGGAATAATCACCCAACCTCGTTCCCAGGCTCTCTCTCCTCTGCCTCCCTTGGTCGTTGGAAGAAAGACACTGGTTGCGGCTGGTCACATGACCACCCAGAATCTGGGTGGTAAAAAAATCTGTTGGGCAGGAGGGGTGGCAGAGTGTTTTGATTGTTGCTGCGAAAAACTTTGTGGGTTTCAAAACCTCAAGCAGTCGCTAAAAACTACCCACTTTATCAGGATTTGATGTGGAGTTTTGCCAACAAAGAATGCTACATTATTTCTGCCGTCTCCAAAATATGGAAGACTTTAGTTCACAAAGAAATTTGGCAGCCGAATGGAGCTCAAACTTTTCGACACTAAGCACATGTAAAACGTCACAAACCGAATCGAAGTGAAACCAGTGGATCAGTCTCTTAAATCTTTGAATTAGGAGGTAATTGATTTACAGTTTTGTTGACATAAGCCTGCACTTTACATGTAATACAGTTTCATCTGCATCAGGTTTATGTAAGTTTATGTTTAGACAGATGTTTAAACACAGTTCCTTGGCATAGGCAAGAATTATACTTTGCAAAATGGTAAATAAAACACCGCTTTATATAGCGATCAATGTGCAATGAGGTTAATTCATGCAGCATGAAACAGTGAAACAGTTTTACTTCTTAGTAATTCGACCGGCTGTAATTGAAATCAGAGTGATACTGGATTTATATAAATATATTTTGTCTAACCTGTGTGAAGCTTAAAATAAGACCGGAGAATTTCGAAGGCGTATTTGCCTGTGTGTGGTTTAATATAGTGATGATCAGCGATGACCAGTGATCGCCTTTCTTTTGCTTCAGTTGAGGTCTACAAAAACAATTTGTTGACTCTACCCCCATGGAAAAGTTTGTGTCACAGATGGTCACGTGAGCAGCCGCAACCAGGGTCTTTCTTCCAATGAACAAAGGAGGCAGAGGAGAGAGAGCCTGGGAATGAGGTTGATAATCACCTAGCTTTAAAACAACATCACTGAACAATGTTAAAGGAGTCTCGGCTGAACCTTTAGAAGTAAAATGCCCTTAAAGTGTCCACTTATTGCAGGTTTTGTGCAACAAAATGGCTTAATGTTGGTGTCTGCATCTGTTTAACTGACAGAGGTGTCTGCTGAACACAGGTATATTTTACAGTAAATGTGTGAAGAAAATTTAGGGACTCAAGCTCGTGTCTGCTTAATAGAGGGTGTCCGTTAAATATGGGGTCCGTTTAATACAGGTTTCACCGAATACATTTCCACCTTTATTGTACTTAATGATGTCCTTAACCAAATGTCCTTTAGACAGGAATTACAGAAAGCTAGATCAATTTAGCTCCCTTCTTTGAGTCGCAGCACACAACTACAATAGACCTTTTTCGACTGGGCGGTTTGTTGCCCAATTTCAGACCATGTGATGATACTCCTGAGAATTCTTCATTTCAAATTTTCAAATAGTCACGTGCATATGAATAAATAATTTTTACATGGGTAAAAGAACAATTCTCTAGACAATATAATGTGGTCTGTAATGGGAAAACAAACCGCCCAAGCGAAAAAGGTCCATTAAGGAGGAGATTGCACACTAATTTGACAGCAGCAGAAAAGGGGGAGGCAAAGGGAAGTGCTGGGGAGGGAGCGCGGAGAAACAAGAAAAAAACAGAACAAGCAGCTGCATTCTTTACGTTAGGTAAGCTATACAAGTGCCCAATTTTCTTTAATGGATTATTATAAATGAAGTGCTACATGTATCTTGGGTATCCTTTAAAAAAATACATTCAGATAATTTATACAGTGTATATGTATATAAATATTGTACATACTTCACTCCTTGGGCTGACCGTAGAAGGGGTATTTAATGGTATAGAGGTAGCACCATCACTGTTGTCAGTTGTCATATTAAGTGGACCAACACCACAACTTCCACTGGAATGTCTGGGTAATGGCATACATAAACTTGATTTATTCAAGGTCTCAATAAAGTTTAAGTCCTCAGAATCAACTGGAAATGAAGTTTGCACACCAAGAAGAAGAAATATGCACCGTTGCACCACTCCTTTACAGGCATCGATAAAAACCTGGGCAAAAGAGACTTCATTTTCTGGCAAAGAAGAGACATAATATGATATTAAAATGGGTTAATAAGCATTGTTAACTTATAATTTCAGCGGCTTTGATATTTGAAACAATCTAGTGAGTAATCTACAACTTTGTGCTGTTCAACAATATCCATCTCCAGGGAGGTCATTATTTTTGCTGGAATTCAGGGTTCAAAATCAAATCAAACCCATATTTGCAGTATTTTTAAGTCAACTCTGTTTTTTAGCTGGCTAAAGAAGCTAACAAAGTTGTCAATGTCAACAACATTACATCCAGAAAAGCATAACACAGAAGTCACATTATGTGGATTGTTCTCAATGTTCAGAGAGGAATTGAAAACAGTTTCCATTTCATTTCAATGCTATTTTCTCTTCAGTTTATTAAACTTTCCAGTGATATTGCTTTTGACAAAAGCAACTGCGCTTTGTATTTATTTGCTAAAAGAAGAAGACTGATTAGGGTGCATAGGAAACACAATTTAAGGCAACTTCCGTACTGACCAACTGGTCACATAATGAACTAAAACATTATAATAACGGCTTAAGGCAACCTCGTTCCCAGGGTCTCTCATCTTACCGCCCCCTGGAGCGAGCGAAGAGAGACCCTGGTTGGGTCTGGTCGTGTCTCCTAGAATCTGGGAGATGACAATTAAATTATTGAAGGGATGGGCGGCCTAGTAGGAATTTTGTCTATACTTAGCCTACAGGAGTTCGGGAAGTGTTGTCACCAAAGTAAACCAAGAACGATATGATGTTCTGCAGCAATGTCCGGCGGTAATATTCTGCAAACGCCAAGGAAAATTTATCCATCACCTGATAGCAGAAATCCATGTCGCTGATGGTTGCATGGTTCAGTGAAGGACGTTACATATTGTAAAAATCTCCTCACGAAGGCGAATGGAGAATTACACACTGCAGCCGAGGGTGTGTATGGAAGATGTTTACTCATCTTTACCTCAGAATGAAGTGTAGGTCTTGTTACCGGCGATTAAATAATTTTAGAGAATTCAGGGCCTTTTAAATGATGACTGAAAGGCAAAGTTGCTTCGAAAGGAGCGAAAGGGTGAAAAGATTTATTGGAGTTTCATCGCGCCGTCGGCGCCCCGAACTTTGCCGAGCGCGAAGGACATAAATACAACGAACTCATCGCGGTATGCATTTCGCCGTCGTTGCTGATAAAATGGATTTATCTTCGAACGAAACGAGGCTAGGAAAAGAAAACTATAATTTTTATTGTGTCGTTAATAAATTAGTGTACGTGACGCCAACGGTTCGAGAGAATTGTGCACATTTTC